CAGTCTGTCATCTTGTATAAATTGTTGGTAAATTCAGGTTTATCATTTCAGCTTTCCCAAAATTTCCTACACAGTACTAAACTCACTTCCAAAGATAATGTAATGATTCAAGTTCCTCTTTTGATACAAACTTGCCCAATGGTCACGAAGAACTTGTTTGCTAAGTCATATGCATGGTCTTGACACATGAGAAGTAATGAACACATGACATGCAGATGACTACTGATACAGTGCCATGTGAGCAGCCTCCCAAAACAAGGGCCACCATACCAAATGTGCTGTGACCTACCATATACACATTAAGGTTAGAAGCACATAATGTAAGCAAATAGTACGTTCTTGCAAACCTGAACTATTATTATAGGTAAAGATCAATTTGCTTTTGAAACTTCATTTACAATGCCTCTACTGCAGTAGACTGTCTGAAAGTTTCACTACATATTATGGATAATATTCCTATTGTTAATCCTAACTAAAAACTACTGAATGTTAAGTCAACACTTATATAAATCCCAGTAAGTCAAAAGATCTACTCTAGTTGGGACTAGCAACAGGACACTGGCTTATGTGCAACTACAACAATACTCTAAAAATAAGCAAATATGTACTTTGCTGAAGTCACTACACAGATAAGCTGTCAGTAGCTCTAACGAACCCAGGAAATACTGGCTCTGCACAGGTCACACACATACACACGTCCATTACCTGCTAAGACTGTTATTGACATCCATAAGATTTAACTGCAAAAATAATTAGAGAGAACAAACATTGAATTTATAGTATCCTATCTACAGTTCAGCAGTACATTAAGCTTTACAGCAATGCCTGAAAATAAAAGCAACTACAGCATCTGCTATCTAGAAACCTGCACATGAGAGACTGAAGCAGAGCAAGGAGAACATAACCTTAAGGAATGGATTGGGATGTTCAGTCAAAGGAATGATTCTGGATTTATTTGTCTGAGCTAAAACCTTATTTATAAGTTACTGTGCATGGTGTGCATTGAATTCAAATTACTGATCACACAGAACTACCACTATAAGTGCAACGATGCAGACACAATATGCACCTCTGCCCACACAAATGGCCTTGGCAGCTGATTTAAAACCATACAAACCTTAGTTCCATGTAGCCTGGCATCTCGACTAACGGAAATCCATTTACCAGTGCTTTCACATGCAGTGTTAGCAGATCAGTGAGTGATGGCCCCACAGAGAGCTCCTGCTAATGTGTGAAGTACCCATGAAAGGGCCAGGGTGAGGTTTCTAAGCTGCTGATACAAGACATGAGGCCAACACTTCGCCATGTTGAACTGCACTGGTGGAGTGTTTCTCACATACCATGCGCTATATAAAAACTGGATTTTTTAAAATCAGGGTTCTTTAAAAGCTCTAATGAGATGTGTGTATCTGTAACAAATTCTAGTGTACTGCCTTCTGTAATCTCTACCATAAGGGAGGAACGATCACTCAAAGGCAGAATATTGACTTTGTAGACAGGGGGTCTCAGGTTCGAATTCTTGGCTTCTTCAGTTAAAACTGCCTCAAGCAATGACATTCAAAAGGCCTTTTTTGCCCAAGACTGTGGAGAGGTAAGGCCAGTCAGAGTAGACAATACTGCAGTAGACACACAAATACTGTAACCTGATTATGAGACAGTTTTAAACTTCTTACTATTGGAAAGAAAGCATCCTGAAGTATACTTTTGACTATATACTGGCATCCAGTCTATTTACTGGACTAAGGAATGCAGTAAGGTAGACAAGCAAAGAATGTTTGTTTCAACATGATAGTAAAAGTAAGGGTATAATCCTATATTCACCCTACATACTCTTAACTTTCTGTGAAATCAGAGGGACCTGACATACAGGATTTCAGCATTAATTAAGGGAATCCAATTTGTGTTCAGTACAAAACAGACTGGCTTATTCTTAGGAAGAACAGTTGAATTCTGCTTCAATACATTCCCTTCAACATTGCATTTTATTAAGACTTTTGATAACTACTTACATGAAACAATGTTTTTATTTAAAGCAATTTTATTTAAATTGTAGCAAGTCTTACAACATATGAATTTACAGAAAGAATTCTGTCAGAAGTAGCATTGTGTACACATTCTGGTTCCCCATTTTAATTTCACTCATACGTATGAAAATAAGCATCAGGTTTATCAGGTTTACATTCACAAATCAGGTTCTCTCATGAAAGCAAGCTTGAACTAGATGACCAACCAAAGACTTCGACATCATTTCTACTTGGCTGTACTTTGATGCTTATGTTAGATAATGGTGTAACTGATGCAGAGGTGTTAGAGAGACAACGATCCTGCAGCTCATTAGGGCACAGGTTGAGTGACAGTTGTGGCCATATTATGTAGCATACATTCATTAAAAAATCTTCTTTCAGCTACACAGTAGCCCTTCCCTTCCCTTGCTACTGCATGAAAGGGGATAAATGCAATCTTAATCTTACAAGACTGACCGGTAAACACCGACCTGTAAAAATGAATGGCTGAGTTCAGAGTCACAGCTACAATAGCACTTCTACCCGACTGTGTCCTTGGACTTCTAAACACTTCTATTCTCAACTATTGTGCATTACTTTACCTAAAGACAAGATGAAGCCCTAGCTCCTTGGGGATACTAAAATACATCCCCTAGTATAGTGTAGAACCTATGTAAAAAGGGAAGTAAATCAGAATTGCACCTCCCAAAATCTGGTCTTGATGCCTTCTTGGAAGAAATGCCCATTTGGTCTTTAGATTTTTTGCCTCTAATACATATGTCCACTTGCATGAGTGGAAAACTAAATTTTTAAGACAACCCCCCCCCCGAAAAAAATCAGCACACTTTTTTTCTAAATGGCCCACAGTTTAATATTTAATATTAAATTCAATATTAAATCTACATTTCTATGAAAGTAAAAAGACTAAAATTGTAAGTGGCCCCTTTCAAGTGATCTTCCCAATCTGAGTTAGTTGCATTCTTACCCCAGCCAGAAAATAAGTGTTTGCCTTGAATTTCTGCAGTATGTGCATACAGGAAAGTCAATAAGTTTCTTGGTCCAATGCAGGGATTTTGCAACTAATGAGAAAACTGGCAACTTGTCATGCAAATTGTCAGACGTTTCTGTACAACACTTAACAAATCACTCAAAATGATGAGTTCTCCAGAATGTGCTTTGGTATTAGTCACAGAGCCCCCCTGCGAAGGGTTACAGTCCAGAACTGACAAACTAGGACGAGACCAAAGGAGGGCATGTGGTGGGAAAGCAGCACTAGAAGGATGATCTGAATAATACTCACTACTTCTTGTTTCTGGGCTTTAACTCTTCAGCGGCATTGCGCAGAAAAATATAGTTTTTCTTTTGTGGATTATAGAACTCATGCCCCTGTAAAAATAGTAAAATGAGTTACTACTACACAGACACAACTGATTACATTTACAGTACAACTAGTGACCAGTTTTTCCGATATTCCGTCAGACAGAATTTAAGATAATAGTCTCATTGCTACATTAGAAATCCACATTACTTCTATGAGGGTAAGTTATATTCCTTGCTGTGAGGCTTTACATGGAAAGACTTTAAGAATAAGGCAACAAATGGAAGGTTATGTATTAAAACTAACTACTCAAAGGCACTGTGAAGTACTCTGAAAACATATTTAACTGATCAGGTTTTTAGCCAAAAATTAAGTGTGAACTGGCATAAAAAATTCTAGAGAGATGTTGATCCCCAGATGCTCTTGGAGTAAAGCTCCCAGAAGCCTTCAGCACTAGATGTGCTGGCCAAGATTTCTGGAAGTTGTAATCCAAGAACATCTTGGGATCCCAGGTTGGAAACCACTACTTTTAGGTTTCAAATTAACAGACAAAATTAAGTAGCAACTGATATAGTTTAATGTGAGCATTTGTGGACAGGCCCCCACTTCCTCAGATATAAATGTAAGTGGACTTGTCCACTGAATCTCACATTAAAATACATCAGTTAATCTTTAGTGCCACAACGTTTTTGTTCTTTATGTTTTATTCTTCTTTTTGTTTTGGCCTGATATGCTAGTAGATTAACATGGCTACCTCCTCTAATATTGAGTAGGGCTCTGACTACGTTCTCTTTGCAACCTTACTGGAAACGTTTCTCTTCTCTAACTATAGACTTTGGTCTGAAAGAGATGCTGAGCGCTTATCTTCCCACAACCAACTGACTTACCTTTGACCAATCATAACTGGAAGCATATGCAAATATGTTGCCATTGTGGTTGAAGCAGCAAGCAGATATTGGCTGGTCCAGCTGCTCTGATGTTTTTAGCTTAGTCCGTGCATCTTTATCCCAAAAGCTGAATCTACCATCAGATCCTACAGTTGCAAGAGTGCCGTGGACAGGATGAAAGGCGATTCCATTTACCTTTCAAATAAAAATTAATTACAATTTAGCTTAAGATTACCTGGCTCTTCAGTTGAATCAGGGCTTTTGTAACAAAAAAGGCAAACCTAGCAGTGCCTTTTTTCAAGCTTCCAATCTAAAAAACATTGTACAAAACAACCATACTACAGCACAACCTTAAACAAATCTTGTGATGATGTGTTTCAAGGGAAACAGTTTAAGGAAAGGAAAAGCCAACTGTGGCAGATATCTAAGCAGAATTAGATATTCTGCTATTAGATATTAAGAGGCACTACTTCGCTATTCTCCTTTCTGCCCAAATTAATATCTGTATTATGTAAAACAAGGCAAACATGTAATGCAGGTCTAGATCCTGTACAAAAAAGGGTGCAACAACATGTTATAGACAGGACTTGAGTTTTAACATTTCAGATCAATGAAAAACAAAGCTAATTCATATCACAAATTCCTACTATTAAACGATTGCCTATTTATTTATTTTATTTAAAATATTTTTACCCTGCTGTTCTCCTTACAAAGGATCCAAGGTGGCTTACATCACTGAAAGACTATATTTCAATCTGAAGATAATTATACAACGGTGGTTTACATAATTAAAAGTCAACATTTAAAGCTAAAACAATGATTAGAAAGAGGCATTATTAAAAACCAATATTAAAGCTAAGAACAATAAGTATACAAATATTGAAAAGGAACAAACAAATGCCACTCTGAGAAATGGAAAACACAAGTACAGTGGTACCTCGACTTATGAACTTAATCCATTCCAGAAGATGGTCGTAACTCGAATTGTTTGTAAGTCGAAGCACCACTTCCCATAGGAATGCATTGAAATCCCATTACTGACCAGGAAAAACAACAACAACAAAGCAAGCCCCACTAGAATGCGCTGGGGCTGAAAATAAACACACACGCCAAAACACAAAAAAAGTACTGTAACAGCACAGAAACATAACCCCCCCAGCCCAAACCCATGCTACAAAACCCTGTATGTACCCACCCAGAAGCAGAAAACAGCACCAGGCAGTCCGAAGCCTCCTCTGAATACACCCACTCTAACCGCTGGGGCGAACGAGCGACAAAGCAGCAGCCTCTTCGCCGACCAATGGTTAGCACTTTAAATTCTCCACTTTTTTTCTGATCGTAACTCAAAGCTCCGGTCGTAAGTTGAAGCAAAATTTTGCGGCCGAAGTTGGTCGTAATTCGAATAACTCGAATTGGTTGTAAGTCAGGACATTCATAAGTCAGGGCACCACTGTAGTACTAAAAACCCAGTTGAAGCAGTAATGCATAATACAGTGGTGCCTCGCTTAGCGATGTTAATCGGTGCAGCAAAAATCACCGCTAACTGAAAACATCGCTAAGCGATTTTTAAAAGCCCATAGGAATGCACTGAAACTCACCTTTAAGCAAAAATCCTCCATACGGCTGCCATTTTCGCTGCCCGGTATGTGAGGAATCCATCCCAAAACACAGCGGATGGCCATGTTTTTTATCCGGCGGCCATTTTGGAACCGCCGATCAGCTGTTGGGAAAACATCGCTATGCGAAAATCGGTAAGCGAAACAGCTTACCATCACAAAGCGATTTTTCCCGTTTAAAACATCGCAATGCGATCACTTTTGCGATCGCAAAAACCTAATCGCTATGCGATTTCGTTGTTAAGCGAGGCACCACTATAATTCATCTAAAAATCATACAAAGGTAGCCAGTCACTGAGGGAAGGCTTGCCTGAAGAGAAAGGGAGAGAAGCTAGATGAGGGGTATGGCTTGATAGGTTGAACAGGTTCCAAGAAAAGGGAAGGAATCTAGCTCTCAAACCAATCCTGCTCCTCAGTCTTAAAGTACAGGAAGACAGCATGTTGAGAAAGAACGTGCTCCAAAGAACATTAGAAATTATTTCTATAAAGGTATAGCCAAATGCCTCTGTAAAAGGCTGCCAATTTTTCCACTCCAGATATATTTAGTAGAATAAGAACATCTTGGGTTGACAGTGTAAGATACATGTGCTTTGCTCACTGTCATTCTGGTTGTTACAGATGTCACTTTTCTCCCTTTAGACAAAAAAGCAGAGATCTTCTCTTCAGAGGCAAAATGTCAAAGAAGTGAGGGTCTAGATTTGGCAGTCTATGCATAACCGCCCTGGAGGGTGCTTACTGCATGACACGAGAAATACTTACAGCATAGATATCCTGAGGTGCAGATGTGTTTGTGCCATTGGACCGATGACATTTGAAGGTGAAGTTGTCTTTGGCACTAAGGGGAAAAAACACCCACATTTATATTCTCAATTCCATAGGGCACACAATGCATTATTTATAACAGCCCATGTTTCTTGCAAGCCTGAAGTCACAGAGGCCTATTTCAAGATACTTACGGGTTTGGTGGGTTAATGTAATGAATGGCTACTCTTCCTTCAATGCTTCCAAGAGCAAACCCTGTTGGTTTGTTCACTTTGTCTTTAAAAATTGCCACACAACGATGCTAAACAAGAAATACTGTGTTTTAGTAAGGTATCAGAGAAACATAAGCATTAGCTGGGCATCTTTTGTAGGTACAACCATAGTATGAAAGCCACCAAATAGTTACAACTACAGAGAACATTTACTTATCATAAGGACTATTAAATCTACAATATACTATTTCGACATTCCAATCAAAGGGAGGCAGATAGCTCATATTTCCTCAGCCAGAAAAAGACAATTGAACTTGAATACACTAGGCCTCCAAGTGCCCACACTGTTGCAACACTGATGTGAACAAACTTTCTGAAATGCAGGGAGACCATTGACTAGCAGATAGCTCATATTTCCTCAGCCAGAAACAAAAGACAATTGAACTTGTGAAGACACTAGGTCTCCAAGTGCCCACACTGTTGCAACACTGATGTGAACAAACTTTCTGAAATGCAGGGAGACCATTGACTACCTAGTTGCTTCAACAAATATGACATTAGCATACAAAGAATGTTGCCACCTATTTAGCCTATACATGGTGGCTCAATCTGAATTATTCCAACCTGGCAAAACATCTTTTGAACCCAAAGAGAAGTTCAAAATAATTTTACTATGCCATGATGGTCCAAATGTCAAAGAAAAGAAGAATTCTACAGCATAAGCTCAAATATTTAGGGACAATGAAATGGCTTTTTGAATCCCATCTGGATACATTTTGTTCCCTTCACAGTAAAGTACAAAATGGCTAAATTATTTTTTAGGTTCACCTTATATAGTCTCCAAATAAGACTGAAAGTATTGCATTCTTAGGTGCTGGTCTCTCACACAACAAGCTAGAGTTATTTGCAAAATTAAAAGAAACCTATTTCTTTGTGTGCTCCTATGATGCTTTTTTTACAACCTAGCAGATGTATTTATGCAAACAGCTCTCAGAACTTTGCCCATTGTGTTTAAAAATTGTAATGTGTAACTTAAGCAATGTTTTAAAAATGGTAACTTACAACAATAACTCAAATATTAACCCAAGTCTTGAAAATTAAGAAGCTTTAATTCAAGTCTAATTATTACCTGATGTTTAAGAGGAGAGTCTATTCTTCTAAATTCTGATGGCTGATTGTCCAATTGATAAACTATCAAGCCTCTCTCTGCAGTAGCCACAACAGCCATCGGGTAAACCTGAAAACAAAATATGAATCATCTGAATTATAGTTGCTACAAAGACATGCACTTGTAAGAAAAAAAGTGATAGCCTTCACTGCTGTATTTTAATCCGTGTCATGTCATTGGCAAGTAATAAAGGCATATCCCTGGTTATCTCAGAAATAATTCATTTTATGCCATTTCCCTCCGTACTCTTATAAATTTATTCTTCATAACAACAGAAACTCCAAATATTAATTACTGTTCTAGGAAAGAGACCAAGCAAATGGCAAAGTACAGCATAAGTTCTGATATAAATTTGTGAAGCTGGTTAACTTACTACATCAGCACAGTAACACCGTTCAGGCAACTGCAGAGTCATCATTGGAGTAGGTGACCGTGTGTCCCAAAACTAAAGAAAAGTTAAATAAGGCATTAATAACCCCCACTTGAATGTAAGAAGGACCATTTTAGCATAATATGGCTTCAAGTTGTTTCCATGACAATTACAAAGGAAGCCTATTTATTCTGTACTAATTTTTTGATCAACCCCAACATTTTTTCTTCAAACATAGTTAAATCCAAGTCTTCATTTCAAGGAGGACAGACCTAAGTGTTCACTTATTGGTCTATTGTAATTGGGACTAACAATTGGATGTAAGTGACAGTGAACTACTTGAAGGACTGTAAGACATTTTTCACACTGAAGCTCTATAGCAAGAACTGCAAAATGACCGTGATGGGTATGACATTCTGATAACTGTCTCTGTAAATAACTGCAACCTTACTGTGAGGGTTCAGTGTGTGTGGGGCCCACTCTGGCCCGTTCAAAAGGAATGTTTCAGACGTGCATTGCTTTTCTAACAAAGGAACATTTATTGTGCTCTTAACAAATAAACCAGTGTCTTTAATTGTATCTCAGTTCTTATCTCCTTTAGCCAACGTGGCCAACAGGGGTTTCCAATCGTCCAAAACAAATGGGTTATTATAGTGTTCCAGGGTCCTGGGGGATTCAGTAGACATTCAATGCTTCAAAGTTGGGGGTCTGCAAACCCGGCAACAGGGACACAGTGTCATCTCTGGAAATCTCGTCCCACTGGGTATCCCCCGGCCTATCCAATACTTGCCATCCCTTTTCTTCTCCTCCATTCTCATCTCCAGAATCCTCCATCCTGTCCTCGCCTGTCTTTCTGCCTTTCTCTCTCTCTTCCTTCAGCTTTCTCCGCCAGTCCTTAGCCTACCCCCTCCCCAATAAGAACAATGAACCAGAATGAAGGATCTTCTCTTGTAATCTGCCTCCTCGGGAGCAACTCCAATTCTCTCCCATCTATCTGTCCAGGGTTCCTTTGGCAAGGGCTCATCTCTTTTTATAGCTTCTCCTTGCCCCACCTCTCGGGTTTCCATCTTCTTCTGGTCTGAAGCAATTTACAATCACCCTTTGCTAATGTTAATGTGGCCTTTTAAGAGAGAACAGTAGTGTTGCCTTACAACAGACTAGGGCTGGGAAGGGCACGTGGCCCTTCTGCAATTACCCTCTGTCAAAGTGAGCTAGAAGTTGAATCGGGGGTTCCTATTAATACACCACACTTCTAGGCTTCACTTCCTGCACTTAGGTCAACAAAAGGAGACTTGCTTCCATGTTAACATACACAAGACTACACTACACATCACTATGTTACACAAAATAAAAACAAGTTTCCCCATAATATCTACCACATACAGTTTCAGAAGATCAATCTAGATCTATAGATAAGTACTATTAAAAAATAACCAATACACTTACTTTTAATGTTTTATCCCAGCTTCCAGTCATCACACAACTATAATTTGGTGCTTTTATCCAATGGACAGTCTTTACAGGAGCTTCATGCTATAGAATAAATAGTATTCAGAAGATAACTGGATACATTCCCCATTTATTCTGTTTAGAATGTGGATCAACCTAACTTGCAATACAGACTTCCTCCTTTTACTTTTATCTCCTGGAAAGCGAGACGGCTCTTTCAAGCAGACCTTGCAATGCTTCTGACAGGCAAATATACCAGATACACCGGCAAATCAACACTGATCAAGATATCTATGTTACACTTCCCACTTCTCTTTGTGTTGTCTGTCTCTTTTGCTTTTAAATTCATTCACAAGTTCAGCCAACTTAAGGGCTAGTTCAAATAGAATCTGAAGCAACAAAACACTGTATCTTTTGTATTTTAAACACTCCACAAATTGAAGAAGTTAAACAAATCTGTCCCTTTTCACTTGGCGGGGCACGAGAAAAAGACAGTATTTAATATCATAAGCTTCAAATGGGCAGCCAGTTTCCACCCAAACACAACACAGACAGTTCTAGCTTCTCCAAATTCAGACCTTGGGATAAAATTGTATGTATTCCTAAACATTATGCATTTGCTTCTAGGGTAGTTTTACTACTTAAAACGTGTTTGTGACACCAAGACGTCCACTAACATACCAACAAAGATTGACACTATATATCAAAATTTTAAACTTGCTGTTTCCAGCTCAAAAATAGTTCTTAACATTCCTTAGTACCATAAGCACTCCTCATATAAACATATTCTAACATGTAGCTCACACTGTTATAGGACATTTGATTCATTCATGATTTGGCCAATGTGTGGAAAAGAGTCCTGAACTCTGAAAACATCACCCCTTTTCTGCCTTACCCCAGTTTGAGAACTACAGTCTTCACATGCACAGGAATGTTGTAATTTCATCTAAGCTTTGTTCCAAGCATGTCATTTTTCTATTTTAATTTTAGAAACTATATTAACAGTTAATGGATCAGAAATCTTGATGTTAAGTCTTATTAACCTGAGGTTTTCTTTCAAATACACTTCAATGCAATAAACTTCAATGCATACCCTTTTATATAGTTACATTTGAAAACCATACCTGTGCTATTTGTATTGCCTGGTTGCTGTTGAGATCCCACATTTTGGCCGTTTTATCACAAGACGCTGTGAAGACTTTACTCCCATCCTAAACAATAACAAAGAAAAAAAGTTTGTAGTTTACTGTATTTATCTGTGGTTGGCTAAACACAGATGCTGAAGCATCCCAGTGGCAATAACTTTCTCTCTTATAAGAATGTTTCATTACTATGATGTCTTGGTTGTTAGGGAATAGAGGGTGCCCTGGAGTGGGATGCTCCTAACACTCAAGATTAATTTCCATGCAAGGAGAAACCAAGGTTTTAAGTCAAGATTTTTGATTTCCAGCTCCATGAATAGACAGCACAAATTATTTAAACAGAATCCTTGCAAAGTAAAAATGAATGGATGGATGGATGAATATACAAGAAAAACATACATCACACCAGCAAACATCCAGCACAGGTCCTGTATGCATCTGTTGAGCTTTTGGAATAGTTTGCCCATTATCTTGGACCTCCCAACAACGCACCTGAAGTTAAAAGAAAGACAACATGTTAAACTACTGTACTACAGTGCCATTGACTCTCAGTATTATTGTAAACAACATTATTTGGGGACATTTCTAAAAACCAAACTCAAAGGACTTCCTGATGAAGCCAATTCTGACCTACAAAAGCTCAAAAGCCAAAAGAAACTTGAAACATCAATTGGACCCAAATATGAAGGAGACATAAAGCCTCAGGATGTTAAGAAAACCTGGTTTATTATGCTTTAGGAACTGCACAATATGTTTGGCCCAAGCAATGTGGATCTGTCTGTGGAAGCTAATAAAAAAGAAAGAAAACAGAGAGGGACAATGTATAGGTTAGCATTATAATACATTCAAAAGAAATTGTAGTAGACCAGTGGTCCCCAACCTTGGGTAACTCAGGTGTTCTTGAACTACAACTCCCAGAAGCTTTCACCACTAGCTGTGATAGCCAGGGTTTCTAGGAATTTCAATCAAAGAATAGCTGGCTCACCTGAGGTTGAGAATCACTGTACTGGAATCTTAAAAGTTATTTATACAACACATTACATGCAACTATCCGCATTACCACTTTCATTATTTACAGAAAGAGCATGAATGTTCTGCTCTAAACTACAGTAGTAATAAAACAAAAGCCAAAAGAAACTGGAAACATCCACTTGACCCAAATATGAAGGAAGTACAACGTTTCAAGATGAGTTCTCAAAGGCTTTCACGGCCCGGATCTGATGGTTGTTGTGGGTTTTTCGGGCTCTTTGGCCGTGTTCTCAAGGTTGTTCTTCCTGACATTTTGCCAGTCTCTGTGGCTGGCATCTTCAGAGGACTGGAGTAGAAACGTCAGGAAGTACAACCTTCAGAACACGGCCAAAAAACCCAAAAAATCCGTAACAACCACTTTCAAGATGAGGTTTATATAAATATGAGAACTTCTTCCCATCTTGTCATTGGTATGCTTAGAAGAGATTTGCTGAAATCAAGATGACTTAGGTTAATTATAATTAGGGGGAGAAGTTCTATGACAGGTCATACTTTTTCCCAAAAAATTGTTTGAAAATGTTTATGAACATGTTTATGAGTAATCTGGTGAGAAAGGCCAGATTACTCATAAACATGTTTAAACTCACTTGTGGGTTCAAGTATAGGTTGAAGAGAAAGTGTGACATGTCATAGAAATCCTAGTTATAACTAACTTGCCCAACTGATTTCAATAAATCTATTTTAAACATGACTAAGTCTAAATCTAGTGAGTCTAAAACTGAACTAAGTCCAGTCTTAACCCACTGCTTTTAGGATGCAAGAGACCTTTTATTTTTACTAAAACACATACAACTTGATCCTATGCAGATTTCCTTGGAATGAAATATCAATATCCACAAAGGAGTTTATTTTAAGATTGTTTCAATAAGGCTGCAGTTTATAATGACTGCTCTTCTCAAATTCATTTGCTCTTTCAACTTCGTTTCATGATTAGAAATGGGCATGAAATGCCAAACCAAGGGTTCATGCCAGTTTGCATGAAATGCCAAACCAAGGGTTCATGCCAGCTTGCTTTTCAGCTAAACAGGTGTTCAGCACTTCCCAGCCCTACCTCAGCTGAACAAGTGTTCAGCACTTCCCAGCCCTACCTCTCCTGGCAGGTGCCCACTCAGAGGCAGCGAACCAGCTTCCCCACCCCAGATCCTCCGAGTGGGCTCCCACCAGAGGAAACAGGGCTGGGAAACACTGAGCACCTGTTTTGACTGAAAAACAAACCAGGACAAAACACTGATTTGTCAGTTCATGCCCATGTCTATTCATGACATATAAGCAAATCAAAAGAGACTGAAACTGCAGCCCTGTATCCACTTATCAGGGAATAAGACCCACTGAACTCAACTGACTTCTGAGACACATATAAGACTGTGCAAATAGAAAATACCCTGTTTATAATGAGTTTAATAACTGAAATCCTACTGAGTAACTATGTAGGCATAACTTATGTTGCCCACATAACAGGTGCAACTGTGTCAAGGAAGAAGTGCTATTTACAAAGCATGTTTAAGCAGGTATAATATTATGTTGCACCACAACGAACAGGATTCCAACCATTGTGTCAAAGCAGTACAAGCCAATGAAAGTCTGATGAAAACAAAAATCTGATTTCATTTTGCTAGCAACAAGCAGAAATACACATTTAATATAAACTCTCTTAGCTGTATATATGGTATGCCCCAATATCTTCTTTTCTTTGTTACTTACATCATTTGCCCATGATCCAGCAATAAGGAAATTACCCGGCAATGTTGGTGGGCTGAAAGCCAAACAACCAATGCTGTCATCAGGCGGTGAAGTAACTTCAATATCCTGGAACAGATCAAGGTTACACTCATTTCCCAGTGCATATGCACAGCACACAATTTTAATTGGTTCAAAAACCCAACATATTTTCCCTGCCCCCGTGTGAACATGGGCTGAGTACCTTCATGGGGTTGTGGTTATCTGTAGCTGTGCTGCCAAACATACTGGTGCCCCCAGTTCCAAATCCTGAAGTTGAGCCAAACAAACTCATTTTGGTCCTGTGAACAACAGAGTTGAAAACAACTTGAATACATTGCACGTTGCACAAGATTATGTGATGCATATCAGTCATCATATAATGCATGCACACTGTATTTAAACTTATAATTAAAACTAATGGGACAAAATCCTATTACAAAAAGAACTGCTCAGGTGGTTTTTGAACCTCTTGAGCATGCTATAGATTGTGTGATCAGTGTGAATCCCAGGAAGACCAGATATGGGGCAGATAGCCCAGCAAACGGGTAGCATTGATTTACACTGCCATTTGCAGGCAACAGGATTAAAAAATGATTCTGCATATGGAAGCAAACACATTGATACATCTTTGTTTCTACTGGCTTCCCTGAATTCCTCCTTCTTCATCAAAGGCTCTTCTCAGATTACTCCATCATTTGAAGCTATGCAGGCAACTGAGGAATGGTATTTCTCCAGCTTCATCTGTGACAGAACTAGACTGTTACTGTTTCTCTCCCCTCCCCTGACCTTCTGTCACTTTTCGTAAGCTAAAAGGCCTTACCTTGCACAACCTGCATTTCATGAAAAGAAGCAGCTCTTTTCAAACTTCCATCTATAAGGACGTAGTGGAGCAGTAGAGGTATTTCATAATTCAACCACCTCCTATTTTGCAGGAGGAAGGAAATTTGGGGAGAGGAGGAACTTAATAAATTACTAACTCATCCCACTGATTTTCAATGGATTTACTCTAACCTTGAATAAACATGAATGCAAAGTATAAAAATATACCGGGAAGCAGGTTTAAAACATGAATTTTAAGAATTTGTAAACCTAAGTCATTGGAGAAGGGGCATATACAGATTTGTTCAGGAAATGTTCTATGTGCAGGTGCATACACGGCTGTCCTCTTCCTTAACATGAAAACTGCATCACAGGTGAAGTTAAAGACATGAGACATGTCTAGAACTTTTAATGTCTTTTGGCCACATTTTTCAACAAACATGACTTTCTGTTACATACCCCAGTTGAATTCTAGTCTGAAGAAAATACAACAAAATTCCTCCCAGCAATTTCCACAGTGCATGCTAGAGACATAGAGAGAAACTAATCATAGCTCAGAGGCTGCTAACTGAATCAAGCTGTTCTCGTGCAGGAGCTGTTTACTGATAGAGTAAGTGACAGTGGATTGTACCCTGTCAAAGAACTCTCAACCTTGGCTTCTTGAATAGCTGTGCAATGTAGTCATGGAAAGTCACATGTATTCTAAGGAGTTCAGCATGGTAAACAACATAAACATAAGACAGCACATGGCACTGGTAGAAATTGCTATATGAAACTATGATGCATATAGCAGAGATGGGCTAGCTCCAAGCGCCTTCACCCAATGTCTAAGCATTGTCAGAGGGCCAAACATTCCCCAAGGGTTCCACAAAACCAGAAGTAATGAACAGAATTCCAACTTTCAGCACGTGTATACTGAAAGCAAAAGAAGAGTACCTGCACATGCTCCAGGTTGTCATTTCTAAAAAAACGAAGGTTAAGGTTGGGTTATGGGTGGGTGGGGGCTTTTTTGCACACAATTTGGGGGGGGGGGCTTTTTTGCACACAATTTAAAAAGACAGACTGTCTTCAGCATCTGATAAATAATCCCAGATATAAGAGATTGTCATCCCAACATCATAGGATTTCTTATCATCCTAACCACACTAATCTTGTCTCATTTTGGAAGTTGTTGCCTAGTCAGTACTTCCATGGGAAAATACCAAAAAATACTAGGTAAGATTTTTTTTTAGTGGGAAGAGGGACCTGAAACACTGGAAAGCCACTGCTGCGAGTTGGCAACACGGAATGAGTTGGGCCAACAGCCTAAGACGGCTTCCCAAATTCCTATGACGTGCACTCTATACTTGAAATCACCGGCAACGCCAATGGGCCTTGGTAGTAGTCTAGTTTCAAGAGCCACAGGAAGCACATCTGGCCGAACTTTAACACGATTTGCCTATAATCCAAAGATACTATGTTTTCCCATTAAAAACTTCTGCAGGATCAGAAAACTCTTTTTGTTTGAAACTTTTTTAGTGAGCCAGTAAATACATCAACCAACCAACCCAGAGCGTTGTTTCAATCTCTGGGCCGCCCCCCGAAAGCAACGGTGCTGAACGAGGGAGAACGACGACGGGGCTGACCTGTGCATGGCAAACGGCCCCCAAGGCAAGGGGGAGAAGCGACACCTGCGGTCGGCGGGAAAATAGTAAAGGGTCCGGTCGGTGAGAGGCGAGGGCAGCAGGAGCCCCCGAACGGAACCGGCGCAGCCCAAGGAAACAGGGGCGAGGGGTGGTTAGCCGACCAGGCAGACGGAACGGGAAACCACGCCGAGCGCCCCCCCCNCGCCAGGCCGCCTCGCTTACCTCCCAGGCAGATCCCAAGCCCCGCACGTGAGGTCAGAAACCGGCCTTCAACGGGCCCCGGAAGAGGCCGCCTGACCAAGCGGTTCCCTTCACGACGCCCTTACGCAAAGCAGATCGACAAAGGCTCGCCTCACGCGAGTCTAGGCCTCTCTTTAATGCGCATGCGTCAGCTGGGGACGTGCCTCCTAGTCGCCCGAGGAATTGTGGGCATTGTAGTCCAGAAAGCGAACACTTCCTGAATACAGTACTTCTAGACTTAAAGTTCTTGGGTTGAAGAGGGTTATTACTTAGAGGGCAAGGGGCCGGTCTCAAAAGAGTTGATCGGGTTGTGTTTTTTTCTCTCCTGCTAGCACATAATTTCCTCTTCGCAAGTTATTTCGTATGTTTTGCTAGCTAGCTTTTTTCAGTCGTGAGGATCAGATCCCGCTCCCCTTGCTTCGGTTTTGCTGGCGGGCGGGATGGATCTACTGTGAAACTAAGGACGTTTAAGCTTCGGGGGCCCTAGTCCTGGTGACCCCCCCAAAAAAGCTAATTGAGACCACATTTTAAGAAAAATTGTACTGATTTATTATGGAACAACCCCTTGAAGAAGATAACAAGGGCTATCCAGACCTTGTTGCGAAGGGGCGTCCATAACAGTTCAAACTTCAGGGCCCCAAAAATGTAGGTCTGCCACTGCCCAGACGTAAAATAATTTGATAGCGATTCGAATTCACAGGTATTTGTGATTGGTGGAATACCAATTTTTATGTTGTGGTTAATTCTTTTCTTTTTTCCCCTGGTGGAACTACATAAAGATGAGAAATACAGGTGCTTCTTGCACACACTGTAAATAGTCATAGCTGATGACAATTTTGAAAGAAAAATGGAATAGAAAAGTAGGGCACAAGGATGTACAAAAAGAGAGCAGAATTTTTGAATTTACAATGAAATTGCATTATAGATGCAAACAAAATATAAATAAAGAGTTAAAAAAAGCCAAAATGTGGCACTTTAAAGACTAACGTGGTGCTGCTGCAGGTTAAACTGCTGAAGCCTCTGTGCTGCAAGTCGTAAGATCGAATTCACATGACGGAGTGAGCCCCCGTCGCTTGTCCCAGCTCCCGCCAACCTAGTTGTTCGAAAGCATGCAAAATGCAAAAATGTGAGTAGATAAATAGGTACCACCTCGGGAAGGTAAACGGCGTTCTGTGACTAGTCACGCTGGCCATGTGACCACGGAGGCTTGTCTGCGGACAAACGCTAGCTCTATGGGTTGGAAATGGAGATGAGCACCGCCACCTAGAATCGGACACGACTGGACAAAATTGTCAAGGGGAACCTTTACCTTTACAGTACCTTTATATTTGTTAATGTGAACTTTCATGGACAAGCTTACTTCAGGCACACACATCACAAATGATCTCCAACTCAGCCTCGACAAAAACACTTTGCTCTCCCAAACCCATGGTAGCAGACCCGTACTAGAGAATCCTCTGTACTATAGAGAATCCTCCAACCTCAAACAAACCTGTACAGTACTGACACATAATGGACTATGCAACGCTGACAGAGATGAGAATGAAACCCTTTTACAATCCAGATGCTCTTCCCCCATATTTCTTTGGGCAACACAATTACTGGACTTAACAATGCCACACACAATATTAAAGGCACTATTTCTTGTTCCTCTACCAGTGTTATTTATGCAATTTTTTTTTGCCGACAATCCCCATTTGCACTGTACATAGGGCAAACAGGACAGTCTCTATACACAAACAAATCTATGGACATAAATTAGACCTTAAGAATGCTTCATGGATAGTACTTCTGCGTCAGTGCTGTCATAACTACTGCAGGTGCAGGTTTAGATTTGGTTAGTGTACCTTCTACTTTATGTTTAACCTCTTCAGATGAAGGCTCAGGTTCAAGTTGTAAAGCATTAACAGTTATTGTAGGAACTTCAATAAAACTATTTACATCAAGTTGAATATTGTCTCTCTTGCCAATTGGGCAGAAAAGAGGTACCAATCTTGATTAACAAATGGGTTCTCCTGACTAACATTCCAGGGTCCTGGTTGATTTATCTGCTCCCAGTCTGTCACAGTTGTCCCTGGTGATAACGGCAACGAGGACAAAGTGGTTTCTCCTACGTATTTCTCCTGTTTCAATTGTTCACCCGGTTCAAGGAAATCTCAGGTGCCTTGGACTCTCTCTTCTCCATCGTTTCTTTTGCTCTCCATTTGGAGCACTCTCTCCTTTCCTGTTCTACTCTTGCTCTCTCTTCTCTCAGCCTACACTACTACTCTCATGCTTCTTTCTCTCCCAAGTAAGGTTTCTGTGGGACAACTGCCCTCCCTCTGTGCTCAGCTTCTTCCCTGGGCACCATCAATTTCTCCCACTTGTGCGTCCACGGATTCTCTAACAGATCCATTCCCATCCAGGTGGCAGGATGTGGTGGCACTCCTCTCTGTCTTCTAGCTAGACTTCCCCCTTTCTCATATTTCCTTTCATGCCAACTTTCTTTTTCTCTCTCCCTGGTTAGTTTATCATCCCCTCCTCTGTTCCCACCTTTTTAAACGGTTTCCCCACCCTTTCTGTTTCCCCTGGGTCCTGTTCAGTTTCTTCTTTCATGACCCCTTTATAGGAACCTATATGAGCGATCTCTCTGGGCATGGCCACTTCTGATCTTCTGTTCCTTTTCCCTTTCTCTGCTGGAATGGACAGTGCTCAGGCGAGAGGTGTCTCCATCTTAGCTCCTTGGTCACTCAGAGGTTCTCACTTTCTTTACAGCACTAGCTTCTACTAGACCTGCATATCAAATACTGTACACTGTCTATCATCACAATGTTTAACCGCATTTTTGTCTTTTTTTTTAACCCTTTCTTTTTATTTTGTTTTCATCTATAATACAAATATGTGGACAGTGCTCAGGCGAGAGGTGTCTCCATCTTAGCTCCTTGGTCACTCAGAGGTTCTCACTTTCTTTACAGCACTAGCTTCGCTTAGACCTGCCTTTCAAATAATGTACACTGTCTATCATCACAATGTTTAACCGCATTTTTGTCTTTTTTTTTAACCCTTTCTTTTTATTTTGTTTTCACCTATAATACAAATATAATATCCAGGCTTTGTTCCTGGCAACAGAAATTGCACAATTGCAGCAGGGTGTGCGTCCCCAATGCTACCAGTTGTGAAGTGTGCCAGCAGAAATGCTTCATGGGTAGTACTTCTGCCTGGGTGCTGTCATAACTACTGCAAGTATAAGCTTGAGTTGCATATGCGTAGTTATATAATGGGATTTTGCCCATTATATTTCTTCTTAAGAAGAATGTTCATCTTTATTTTCCAGTCACTTCTGAGTTTACAAAGATGGCAAACTAGAAAAAAATATATCTTTTAACTTGTTAAAAGACTGACATAATGGAAATACTGTAATGGTTTTTAAAAGCTAGGATTTAAATTTGAATCATTTTAATTTTAAATTGTTAATCTATACCAGTTTGTGGGGATAGCTGGAGAAAGTATCCAACATAGTGATAACTATCCAACTATTATCTTTTTTTTAAGGGTAGAATTGTGAGAAGTAATTAAGTGTTAAATATACATCTTAACATGTTCCCCCCTTTAGTTTTATGTTCAGCAGTTTAAGTGTTTGTGAAATTAGGAAACAACTATTTTTCCCAACTGAGGATAAAAATTCAAAGATGAAAACTAATTCACAGGCACATTCTAAAACATCCAAACTGTAAATATCTCTTCACACTTTGTCATGTAGAATGATTTACAATTTATAAGGTCTGTCTTAACAACTCTTAACTCAATTTATCTCATGAAACTTTGAAAGTTTGTCTGAACATTCATATCCACCCGCCAAACTGCAGCTTATTTGGCAAATACACCTTGGAAAGGTAATCAGATGAAAAAGAAGTCAAAGCCTGAATTTCAGCCTTCATTTTACATGTTGCCATGATATCTAGCTGCAAAGGAAAGGAGAGAAAATTAAATTTCAGTTGAAACTGATACTATGCACGGTGTACAGTAGTGCAACAGTGTTATGAGATAGAAGCATCAGGACAAGAGTTCTTGTTTTTAAAGACAACTTGAAGACTGCTTTCTCCTTTAGAGACCAAGTATTTTATAGTAAAAAAAAACCTAGCTATTTTTAATATGTAAGAGGAATCTTTGGCCACATTCCAGGCGCCAGGTAAAGCATAGGAACCCTGTTGATTTCAGCTGTCTCAAGTCTCCTTACGTTTGTGTTGACGGTGGTCTTCATTTCTTGTCAGTTCACTAATGGTTTATATGTCTTAATGTTTAGTGGTGTACTGCCCAATTTCATCAGTTTATTGTGTGGTAGAATCATAATTCTGCATTGCCAAATAGAAAGCAAAAGCAGGTATGAAACAAGAAGCCGGTGGTGGATTCAACTGTGGGCAGGTTCTTGACCAGAAGCTTAAAACAAGTCAAATAAAAACAAAAACAAAAACAAAAAAACCTCTTGTTGCCTCCTCCTACCTCCTGTCACTTCCAGGAGGAAATTTTCATTTTTGATTTTTTTTTTCATAAGTCATGTAGCACGTCAGCACTGCCCTAATAGAGTGTAAAAACATTTTCTTGGCTTCCTCTGCTCTCCATGGAATACTAAAGAAAGTATTTAATTTGCCAATATCCCGGAATCACAGAATAATGGAGTTGGAAGGGCCATCAAATCTAACCCCTCCTCAATGCACGTCTGCAATCAAAGTATACCTGACAGATGGTTGTCTATTTTTCTCTTGAAAACCTCCAGCGTTGGAGCACTCACCACCTCTCATGGTAATTGGTTCCATTTTCATGCTGCTTTAACAATTAAGGATGCTTTCCTAATATTCAACTGAAATCTGGCTTCCTGTAACTTAAGCCCATTATTTTGTGTCCTGCTCTCTAGAATGATTGGGTACAGATCCTCCTGACTATCAGGTATTTGAAAAGTGCTATCATATATTGCCCCTCTTCACAGATTGCTGCCTTGTCATGGCGAAGGGGCTTGAGTAATTCAGAGAAACTATGGGCTATGCCGTGCAGGGACACCCAAGACGGACAGGTCATAGTGGAGAGTTCTGACTAAACGCGGTCCACCTGAATCAAAGCTACCAACATGAATCTGACCCAACTCCAGGAGGCAGTGGAAGAGAGGTGGGCCTGGCATGCTCTTGTCCATGGGGTCATGAAGAGTCGGACATGACTTAACTAAACAACAACATCATCATATCTCCCCTCAGTCTTCTCTTCTCAAGGTTAAACATGCCCAGTTCTTTCAGTTTTTCCTCATCAGGTTTGGTTTTCAGTCTCCTGATCATCCTTGTTGCCTTCCTCTGAACTTGTTCCAGTTTGTTGCCATCCTTCTTAAAATACAGTTTCCAGAACTCAACACAGTATTTTAGATCGGGGTTCCCAACCCCCAGTCTGCGGCCCGGTGCCAGTCCATGGGCTTCCCAGGACTGGGCTGCAGAGACAGATCTCTGCCCCTCCATTCGCCTGCACGGTGGGTGTGTTGTGCTCGCGATGGGGTTTGTTGTGCTCGCGGGCCTGTCCCCCCCAACCGGTCCACGGTTCCAAAAAGGTTCGGGACTGCTGCAGTTTAGATGAGCCTAACCAGTGCTGAATAGAGGGGAACTAGAACTTCATGGGATTTGGAGGCTATACATCTATTAATGCAGCCTAAAATAGCATTTCCTTTTTTGAACCACATCACACTGTTGGCTCATATTCAGCTTGTGATCTGCAACAATTAATAAAAATGTTGAAGAGCATCAAGCCCAAGCCTTGTGTTGTCCCATTTGTTACCTCTTCCAACTTTGAGAAGGAGCCATTGATAAACATTGAGTATAATTCTGTAACAACTGTGCATCTACCTGACTGTTGTGGGCTATCCTATGTAGTTTGCTAATCTGAAGATCATGGGGTCTTTTTCAAAATCTTTGCTGAAGTCAAGATATATTACATCTACAGCATTTCTGCTACCTACCATGGAGGTTACCTAGTTATTGCTACATTTCAAGATGCATGCAGAATGACTGCTTTTTAATCTGCTCCAGAATTTTCCCTGGGATTGATGTCATGCTGATTGGTCTGTTTGCCCCCCTTTTTTTGAAGGTAGGGATATTATTAGCCGTACTGCAATCATCTGACACTTCACCTATCCTCCATGATTTCAAGAAAATAATAAATAGTGTTTCTGAGAGGTCTTCAACAAGTCCCTTTAATACTCTTAGATTGGCTTAAATCTTCTTCAAAGTCTGATGGGATTTCTTTATAGTTCATCTTGGCTGTGTCATTTGTTCCCGTATGGATGAGAAGAAAGGGATATGCATCTGTGGATTTTATGAGCAATGGGAATCCTTCTGTCTTATCCCTAATCTGTCCTCCAGGGATATTTCATACCTGGCAGGTTCATAGATCTTCCCAGCATATTTAATTTTCAATACCACATAGTAGGTACTCTCCTACTACAACTACTCTTCTCTTCTTCTTTCCGTAGGTTGTGGGTTCAGTGCTTGGCTGAGCTTCGGCCTCTCTCATGTCCTCCAGTAGAGTCTCCTGTGTGTCTTCCTTTGCATGCTGTTGGCTCATAAAGAATCTGAACACAGTTTTGCAGTTCCACTGGTGAGGAGTGTCTTCTCCTTCTTTTGCTCCTGTGACTCTTTTCCATGGTGCTTCCACCACTATGTTTTTCTCTCCTCAATATTCTCCTTCTTTGCTTTGTCTTGCTGTTCTTCAGCCTCTTGTGCCTCCTTTCGCTGCCGCCGCTCAAGTGTTCTGTCTATGTATTCTTCATCTCTTATAGCTTTAAGTTTGGCCACTCGCTCCTCCAGTTCTTTCACAAATAGTGCACACATTTTGCAGGTCACCACCACTGAAGTGTCTCTTCCTCCATAATCCCTGTTACATTTTCACTTTCTTCCGCTTGTCAATGAGCACCCTTTCCTTTGTCTTGTATGTCTTGGAAGATGCTGGGAAAGTCCACTAATCTATAACTATATCCAGAACCCTCTTGCACATGTATAAGTATGCCTGGGCGTAGAAGGAACACTGACACATGCCACTGACCATCCTTTCTATGACAAAGGTCTTCCACAATTTTCAAAGAGATACCCAGGCTCATGCAAGCATATTAACCAAAAAAGAAAGCAAAATAAAACTAAGAGGCAACAACATGGCACCATGAAGAATAACTGTTTGTTTTAATGTGAGATTTCATGGATCAAGTCCTTTTCCTCAGACACAAGAGTGAGACTGTATGACATATTTGTTCTGATGATCCAGAAGCACTCCAATATCTGTATCCCCACCTGATCACGAGGCCATGTATAACTATGACAGTTGTATAATTTCACTCTTACGTTTGAGCAGTTACTTAGCGCTCTCTCTCTCTCTCTCTCTCTCTCTCTCTCTGGTTTTTATTTGACAGCAAATGAAAACACTCAAATGTAGACCACCAAATAAAATACCTACAGGAAACAAGAGACATTAGAGCTTGACAATTATGGCCCTCTTGTTTCATATACGGTGTTCCTTTTTTTGTTGCAATGCAGACTTATGACTACCACACCACCAACCAATATGTTTCGGCTGTAAATCACAACACATTAAGTCATAAAAACCATAACAGAACCATCAAGAAATAAAGACCACCAGTGAAGACAGACTTGCAGAGATTTAAACCAACTGAAAACAGTTCGGTTCAAACCTGGCCAAAGATCCCTCTTGCTCAGTAAACAATAACCAGCCTTTTACTGTGGAGTACTTAGTCTTTAATGGAAAAAGCTATCTCATTAGTGTAGCAGGAATTGATGAAGGAACTATGGAGCGAATAATGGTTACAATACCTGAGATATTCATTCACTCTATACTGCAGAATGAACTGATCTGATCCTGGAATGTTGTACTAATGTGTAGACTGCAGAGTAGTTAATAGAATTTACTAGTTCTCTGAAAGTTCTCTGATAGCTGATATCAGTTCAAAGGAGCAATGGTGGATGCGTTCTAGGATGAGGTTGATAGTGCGGAGTCTTTTTGGGGGAAAAGGTTTGGCAAGTGACATAGCATTGAAATAACAACTTGTGGAACTCCAGTGTTTGTCTGACATGGCACTAAACTGGAAAAGCACAATAAGAAAATTATTCAGAAGAGACAAGAGGTGCTCACTT